ACAGAAACTAACATGAAGTCACAAAAGGCAACATTAGGACTAGAAACCAAAAATATAGTAATAAAGATATATTTTAAAGAGCATCTCAAAGGAAGAGAGAGTGAGAGATTATCATGATGCAGTTTACAGGGTGCAAATTTCAGAGTTCAGTATTTAAATTTGTATGCTATATGAAATCAAATTCCCCAACATTGTTAACAGAATTGCTACTTTTATTTGTTCACATTTTCTTTCAACTCTGGCTAGTCATTAAACTGGACTTCTTTCCAGTCTCAATGGCAAAATTGTCTCATGTCACCTTTCAATTCCACATGCATGTGGACGGGACAATTCAAATCCAGTCTGACACACCCAATAGTACAAAGTTACAGACTGCCATTCTACACTTTATTTGTTATTTCTTACACTACCTGGCTCTCTTCCAGCTTTGGAAATGTGCACAATTTCAACTGTTCACCTCTAACACCATGTTTCAAGTGTAGGCTTTAATGGTGTCTCTTTCTAAACCTGAAAATTGAAATATCTGTTCCCAGTAAGTCTTTCTCATTGGAAGACTGATTTAAGCCTTTCCAACACACTGATCCTAATATTTATAAATTCCAGAAGCACTGTTTTATGATGTCTGTCGTAAAACAAATGGAATTCAGAATATGATTTCCAAAACCCTGGTAAAATAAATGAAACCCCATAGTTTAAAAATTCAATTCAACTTACTTAATCACCATAAGTCAATACCCCAATTCTGCCATAAAAACAGGATTATTTTTCAAATACTTTCAAAAATTAAATAATGAAACATTTTATGCACTTAGAACACAAAACATAAATGAATAATTCTAGAAAAATACTTGACATATATTTAATTAGTTATTTTCTATACACTTATAAAGTACAGACATAGCAATAACTTTAAGTTAACTCTCATTGACAAAAACATTACCAAACAAAATCTTACACCGAGTACCATTAGGAAATATCAGAGCAGATGACCAAAAAAGTGGTCAGAGGTAGACTTTAAGGCTCATTTTAAGAGGAGGAGAGAGAGGCATAATGGTTTTGAGGAGAGAATCCTAGAGCCAATGCAATTAAAAGCACAACTACCAATGAAGAGTGATTAAAATTGGAGATAACAAGGTGCAGAGCTGGATGAACACAGCAGGCCAAGCAGCATCAGAGGAGCAGGAAAGCTGATGTTTCGGGTCTAGACCCTTCTTCAGAAATGGGAGAGGGGAAGGGCATTCTGATATAAATAGAGAGAGAGGGGGAGGCGGATGGAAGATGGATAAAGGAGCCGATAGGTGGAGAGGAGACAGACAGGTCAAGGAGGTGGGGATGGAGCCACTAAAGGTGAGTGTTGGTGGGGAGTTAGGGTGGGGGTTGATCAGTTCAGGGAAGGAGGACAGGTCAAGGAGGCGGGGATGAGGCTGGTAGGTAGGAGGTGGTGGTGGGGCTTGAGGTGGGAGGAAGGACAGGTTAGGGAGGCAGGGATGAGCTGGGCTGGCTTTGGGATGTGGTAGGGGGAGGGGGAGATTTTGAAGCTTGTGAGATCCACATTGATACCATTGGGCTGCAGGGTTCCCAAGCAAAATATGAGGTGCTGTTTCTGCAACCTTCAGGTGGCATCGTTGTGGCACTGCAGGAGGCCCAGGATGGACATGTCTTCCAAGCAGTGCAGGTGAACATCTGTTTGACGTGGAAGGTTTTCTTGGGGCCTGGGAGGGGGGACCGTGGGGAGGGAAAAATGTCTTTGGTAGTGGGGTCAGATTGCAGAAGGATGATGCGTTGGATCCGGAGGTTGGTGGGGTGGTACGTGAGGACGAGGAGGATTCTGTTTTGGTTGTTGTTGCGGGGAGGGGGAGGGGATGTGAGGGATGAGTTGCGGGACATGCAGTCAAGGGCGTTTTCGACCACTGTGGAAGGGAAGTTGCGGTCCTTGAAAAAAGAGGACATCTGGGATGTCCAGGAGTGGAATGCCTCATCTCGGGAGCAAATGAGGCAGAGGTGAAGGAATTGGAAATAGGGGATAGAATTTTTGCAGGAAGGTGGGTGAGAGGAGGCATATTCTAGGTAGCTATGGGAGTCGGTAGGCTTGAAATAGATATCGGTTTCCAGATGGTTGCCAGAGATGGAAACAGAGAGGTCCAGAAAGGCGAGAGAGGTATCGGAGATGGTCCAGGTGAACTCAAGGTTGGGGTGGAAGGTGTTGGTGAAGTGGATGAACTGTTCGAGCTCCTCGTGGGAGCATGAGGCGGCGCCAATACTGTCATCGATGTAATGGAGGAAGAGGTGGGGGATAGGGCCAGTGTAGCTTCGGAAAAGGGATTGTTCCACGTATCCTACAATGAGGCAGGCATCGCTTGGACCCATGCGGGTACCTATGGCCACAGCTACCTAGAATACACCTCCTCTCACCCACCTTCCTGCAAAAATGCCATCTCCTATTCCCAATTCCTTCGCCTCCACCCCCGAGATGAGGCATTCCACTGCCGGACATCCCAGATGTCCTTGTTTTTCAAGGACCGCAACTTCCCCTCCACAGTGGTCGAAAATGCCCTCGACCGCATCTCTCACATTTCCAGCAACTCATCCCTCACACCCCCTCCCCGCAATAACAACCAAAACTGAATCCCCCTCATCCTCACATACCACCCCACTAACCTCCGGATTCAACGCATCATCCTCCAGCATTTCCGCCATCTGCAATCTGACCCCACCACCAAAGACATTTTTCAATCCCCACGCTTATCTGCCTTCCAGAGGGACCACTCTCTCCGTGACTCCCTTGTCCGCTCCACACTCCCCTCCAGCCCCACCACACCCGGCACTTTTCCCTGCAACCGCAGGAAGTGCTACACCTGCCCCTACACCTCCCCCTCCCTCACCCCCATCCCAGGCCCCAAGAAGACCTTCCACATCAAGCAGATGTTCACCTGCACATCTGCTAAAGTGGTATACTGCATCTGCTGTTCCCGATGTGGCCTCCTCTACATCGGGGAAACCAAGCGGAGGCTTGGAGACCGCTTTGTGGAACACCTGCGCTCGGTTCGCAACAAACGACAACACCTCCCAGTCGCAAACCACTTGAACTCCCCCTCTCACTCCTTGGACGACATGTCCATCCTGGGCCTCCTGCAGTGCCACAACGATGCCACCCGAAGGTTGCAGGCTCCATCCCCGCCTCCTTGACCTGTCCATCTCCTCTCCACCTATCTGCTCCTTTATCCATCTTCCATCTGCCTCCCTTTTTCTCCCTATTTATTTCAGAATCCCCTTCCCCTCCCCCATTTCTGAAGAAGGGTCCAGACCCGAAACGTCAGCTTTCCTGCTCCTCTGTTGCTGCTTGGCCTGCTGTGTTCATCCAGCTCTACACCTTGTTATCTCAGATTCTCCAGCATCGGCAGTTCCTACTATCTCTGATTTGATTAAAATTGGAGATGCTCAAGAAGCCAGTATTGGAGCAGCATTGATATCTCTGAAGATAACCACTTGCAATGACAAAAAGCAAAGTCGAGAGCTTATTTTGGAAGTCTTGTGTCATGCATGTAGGCAATATGGCCTGTCTAATATAGCTGACACAATTTAGAAGTAAGTCATCTCCATTTTAAGGGAGGATGGAAGAGGCAGGGACAGTGATTTATTTTTTGAGAAAGGTTGAGTTGGTTTGATTTCCTTGTTATCATCAATCTAAGGGTAGACAGGAAAATAGAAGCCACCATCAGGTCAGTTATTATTTCATCAAATGACAGAATGGGCTCAAGGTGCTGACTGGCTTACTCCAAGTTCATTTGTTCATATGTCTGCTCATGTTTATGCTTTGCACAAGCCTCCTCCCATCCTGCATCATCTTATCAAAGCCAGAAATGCAGGCCCCTTTAAGGGTAAACCAAAACAGCACCAGAGATTTTTTTTGAGAGCAGCTGATGCCTGCTGGACTTTGTATTTAAGAGTCGAGTTCATAGAATCCCTACAGTGTAGATGGAGGCCATTTGGTCCCTCATGTCTGCAGTGACCCTCAAAGAACATCCCACCTACGTAAGACACAGGCAGAACATGCAAACTCCACAGAGACAGTCACCCAAAGCTGGGATTGAACCTGGGTCCCTGGCACTGAGACAGCTTTTATATTAAAGAAGATATATAAATGAAAACAGCTAGGTTCTAGAAAAAGGTAAAAAAGCAAAGAAGAAAAAAAGTACTCGGCTCTTGGGCCTTTGTGGTGCAGCAGTAGTGTCCCTACCTCTGAACCAAGATGCTTGGGTTCAGGTCCAACCTGCTCCAGAGACATGTCATACCATCAGCGAACAGGATAATTTGAAAAAGAAGGTCTGAGTTTTTGTTTCTCATACTGTATATTAATTGGATGATTAGACAATTGGTAGGGTTTTTTTATATATAAAATGTATAATTGACAATTTTTGTTTTCTTTTGTTTGTTTGGCAATTTTTAAAAATTATTTCTTTGATAAACTCAAAGTGCTATGTTCTTCCCCGGTGTGTGGCTTGCTTCTGGGCATGGCAAGGGTCCAGAAGGGAAACGGAGAATGTAGTGTTTGTGCTAACCTATAGGTTCACAATAAAACATGTGTAAATCTCCAAGTCTTTTGTTGCCTAATCCAATATATGGATCTTGGTCTGTTAAATAATCTAATATTTGTGTTCCCTCAACTGCTTCACCAGTAGCAAGTTCTATATTTTAACCACAAAAAGAAAAGACATTTCTCTTGTATCTTATTAGATTTATTAACGACACTGTTGTATTTATTGCTTCAATTTGGTCTCCTGTAGATGTGAAAACATCTATCTTTCTCCTGTCAAAACCTATTCATCACTTTAAAGACCTCTATTGGGTTTTATCAGAGCAGTTGCGACTGATCTATGCCATCAATCAGAACCAATTAATGAGCTGCTGCACTGTAATTTGGCTTAATAAATGACCCATTGTTTAAAAAAAATACCCAACTAAAACTTTCTGTAATGCTTAGAGACAAATTGTATTGATACCTGTTTTGCCGGCTCCACTTTCTCCAGTGATAAGTATGCACTGGTCCTTGTCCTGGTCTCGTAGAGATCTGTAGGCTTCATCTGCTAAAGCGTAGCTGTGGAAATAATACACATGTTATAGAAGCTGAAATACTGACATATTGCTTTAAAACTTTTTTGTTGCGAGTGAAGAATGATTTACAGGTCCCGTTCAACAGGTCAACGACAACCAACAAAAACTATCTAGAACTTTTAACATAACATAAAATCCTTAGGAGTTTAAATAGAAGGTTCTGTTCAGTTTTGATCTCCAAGATAGCAGCGGAGTAGCAGAGCACAATTGCGGGCTCCTGCTCTGCCTGCTTTGACTTTATTTTTCTTCCTTCACAGCTTTTTTCCTTACTTTAATCTACATACCTTCTGTGGAGAGATCAAGCCAGCATGGGGGACAGTGAGTCTGCGCAGGGAAGAGCAAGAGACCAAGCCTAGAATGGAGGAAATGGAATCCTTCTGGGGAGTGACAGCCCAGCTTGGCTAAGCCCTTAAGGCGGCCTGCAATATTGAACTTTTAACTTTGTTTCCTTATTTTGCTACTGTGTACCTAAGATATTGTACCTACTTACCTTTGTACATAAGATAGCAGCAAGAATGGCGACATTGTACTCCTATATCCCTGTGCTCGAGTACACATGATAATAAAATGTAATTCTAATTCTAGAAGTATTGTCAAATGTTGCTCCCTCCTGAAGTCTCAGACATCACAGATGCCCAATTTCAACCAATTCGATGCTGCAGGAGCCCAGCACATCAGTGCAAAGATGGGACTGAAACATTTGAAACCGATGAGCAGTGTCAAGTGGATGATCCATTTCTGTTCTCTTCCATAGGTATCCAGCATTCAGTCAATTCAATTCATTCTGCGCGATATCAAGAAACAGCTGAAGTCACTGGATACTGCAAAGGCTATGGGCCCAGACAACATTCCTGCAGTCATCCTTGAGGCCTGTTTGTCAAAACTAAGTGTGCCCCCTAGCCAAGCTGTTTCTTCTGGCATCTACTTGACAATGTAAAACTCCCCAGGTATATTCCAATCCATAAAAAGCAAGTCAAATCAAACTTGACCACTGTTTATTATCAATCATCAGCAAAGTGATGATGTGCTATTAAGTGACAACAGAAAACAACATTCAAGAAACTTGTCACCATCTGGGATAAAGCAGCCAAATTGATTGCCACCCTATCGACCACCTTCACCATTCCCTTCCTTCATCATTGACAGACAGTGACTGCAGTGTGTGCTATCTATAAGATTCACTGGACAGCTCACCAAGACTTTTCGTCAGCATCTTTGAAACCCACGACTTCTACCGTCGAGGTGGACAAGGGCAGGAGATGGATGGGAGCATCACCACCAGCAAGATCCTCTTCAAACCACACACTATCCGGATTTGGAAATATATTGCAATGGATGTTAGCCTGACCAGTGTAACCCACATTGCAGATTATTATTATAGCCTTGGTCCAAAGATGGGGTAAAAAAAAGCTAAACTCAGGAGGGGAAGATGACTGCCTTTGATGTCAAGGCAGTATTTGACTGAGTGTAAAGTAAGACTTGTAAAACTGATGTCAATGGGAATTGGGGGAAAGCCCACCACTGGATGGGGTTATACCCAGCACAAAAAGATGGTTGTGATTGTTGGAGGTCAATCATCTCAGTCCCAGGACATCTATACAGGAGTGCTTCAGGGTTGTGTCCGAGGCCCAAACATCTAACTGCTTCATCAACCAACTGACCTCCGGAATAACACAAGAAGTGGGAACATTTGCTGATGACTGCACAACATTCAACATCATTCACACATCTGCAGATGCAGAAGTAATCCATTTCCATATGCTGCATGACCTGGAAAACATCCAGGCTTACGCTAATGCTAAGTAACTATCACGCTTTGAATTTAGCTTCTATGCAGCACATTACTTTTAGAGCCTTCTGTGTCTCTCCCACTTCGGGAGAGGGAGCCATTCTGAACATACAATCTGAGGAATCTAACATCGAGATCTTTTAAATCACAGATAAACACCAATTTCTATGACTTTGTGCTAGGACATCACCAGTCATAACCAGCTAATTACTGGAAACGTGGAACCCTGCCTTTCCAAGGAGTTAAATCATCATCTTGAAGATTTTGTGATTGATGTACTTACTGGAATAAACAGGAAGAGACTTCTACACAAAGACACCATTATCCATCTTGGTTTAAAGTGATTTGGCAACAGATGCTCTACCTTTTGTAGTTTATGTACAAACTAAAATTAACCTTAAAGTACTTTACTTGTCATTCTGAAACATGTATCAATCTTATTTTGAAATGAACAAACTATGAAAAACACCACAATAGTTACAAGCCAGATATCATAATATCTAACGATCAAAGGACACCCCACTCCCAGTAGCCTGATGTACATCACTTTTGTTATGATGGAAAGTATGGCTTGTCATTGATGTCATTTGTCACTTACTGGCTCTCATCAGTAGTGTTGAGATGTTAACCTTAACCAGAAGGCTAGCCACCTCAGTATTCAAGTTTTCCATGTCACCAGAAAACTGTAGAAAATCAGTGCACCTTCCCAGAGAATGGGACTTAATTAATGCACATTCCCTGTTTCACTCACTGCTACCATTCTGGAAAAATACAAGCAAGGAATAAAAGACCAAGACTTATGTTATTTGAACGGAATGGAAATCAAAACTAATTTTACTACCAGTCATAAGTCTTCTGAGCAATGGGATGCTGATGAAAAAAGACAGACTTTTAAACACTTTTTTAGAAGGGTAGGAGGAGCAGATTGAGACAGAATTGAAAATGGGAAATTGCAAACAGGATAAAGGCTAAAGGAGAAAAATTATTCTGCAAAGTCCAGACTAGAGTGCCAGGCTAAGCTAGAAGCAGGAAAGTGTGATATTTTAATATCCATCTCAATGACTCTCAACATCATAAATCCAAACCTCATAACATACGCCAGCACATGGGGCATTAACAATTTCTGACAATTATGATGGGTACATTATAAAATCCTGTAAGAAGTGCTGTGTTAGGTCAACTCCCGACTGTTTTGAAAGTGATACACAGGAAAGGCCAGAAGAATAAAACAAACATTGGAATTCGTCAATTTCTCAAGACTTCAGAGTAATCCATTCAAACAGGAAGAAAAAATGAGGGGTGCAAAGCAGCTTTGAGGCCTGCGCCAACACTCTGGTGATGGCATTTAATCTTGTCGCTGAATAATTTTTTTTAGCCATCTGTAATAAGTAACTGTTCATATGCAATTGTTCATCTGCAAACAGCCTTTGAGTAGCTTAAATACCAATTGGATCTCTTGCTATCTCTAGGAATGCTGTTCACAAGGAATAGGCAGGCCTCCTTGGCATCGAGCATCACTAATGCACTAGGGAGAAAGAATAAGTCAGATCTCTTTTGGAGATGGTTAAAATAGGCATGGATATTCCACGTTGTCTGTCTCTTAACTGCAGGAAATGGGAGGAGGAAGCAAGTATCATTATGAGTCATGCAGCACGGAAACAGACCCTTCAGCCCAACTCATCCATGCCAACCAGACTTCCTAAACTGAACTAGTCCCAATTGCTTGCATTTGACCCATACCCCTCTAAACATTTCCTATCCACGAGCCTGTTGAAATGTCTTAAAATGTTGTAATTGTACTTGCCTCTGCAACTTCCTCTGGCAGTTCATTCCATACATGCACCACCCTTTGTATGAAACAGTTGTCTCTCAGGTCCCTTTTAAATCTTTCCCCCTTCATGTTAAACCTATGCCCTCTAGTTTTAGATTCCCCTATCCTGGGGAAAAAGACCTTGACTATTCAGCTTATCTGCATCCTTCATGATTTTATAAATCTCGAAAAAGGTCACCTCTCAGCCTCCTATGGTCCAGGGGAAAAAAAAAAGTCCCAGCCTACCCAACCTCTCCAGAGAACACAAGCCCTCCAGTCTCAGTAACAACCTTGTAAACCTTTTTTGCATCCTCAGTTTAATAACATCCTTCTATAGCAGGGTGATCAAAACTGAGTGCAGTATTCTAAAGGTGGTCTCACCAATGTCTTGTACAGCTATAACATGACGTCCTGGACTCAGTGCTCTGACCAATTGAGACAAGCATGCCAAATGCCTTCACCACCCATCTATCTGCGGCTCCACTTTCAAGGAACTATGTACCTATATCCCTAGATCTCTCTTTTCTACAACACTTCCCAGGGCCCTACTATTAAGTGTGTAGGTCCTGCCCTGGTTCATCTTACTTAATATGGCAGAGCTTTGACACAGTTCAGAAGCAGGCTGGCAAGTCTTAGCTATTGCATCAAAAAAAAAGCAGAGGGGGAGAAAAAAAAAAAATCATAGAAATGCTGAGCACCATAGACAGCTGTAGCATTTTGCTATTTTCTGCATTCCCTACCATGTCAACAAAGTATTTAAATCCTCACATGCCTAACTGTCAGGCATGTTGAACAATAAATCAGTAACTACAAAGAAGAAATACTTGGACAGCCTGCCACTGAATAAGACCCAGAACTTAATTACTGTACTCCATTGTATAGTTACAGCCTCATTCCCCAATCTGTGTTTTTTTTAAAAAGACTACACCGGTTTATTATTAGTCTCTACTGTCAACAAGGAATCTGCTTCCTGCAGAACAAGCAAATATCCCACAATTAATTTGACTCCCATGGGAAGGTCCAAGAACATTAATTAAACTCGTCAGTCTGAGCAAAATAAATATAAAATTCATAATTACTCTTTGTTTAGCAATACTGATTTACCATCCAATATTTTTAGATCACTGCCATTGTAGTACTACTCACAATGTAACTGGCAGTGAATGGGGAAGATAGATTGACTGGGGGCGGGCAAAAAATAGCATATTTTAAGTACTTTCCTCTCCTTAGATAATCCATTTTAAAGTCCATATTCCTCCCCAAAGGCAGCTTATAGCCAGGCAACTTGGTCCCAGGTCTCCAACACACATGCTCATTAGTCAGATAATAAAAATCTGTAGTACAGCCAAGTAATGTGCAATGATTATCTCCAGCTTCACAGGAT